ATTTCAGGTCACAGAAGGAGATATCTGGTTTTCTCTGAAGTAAATGGGGACAATTATTTTTTATCTAGGCTTTATTTTCTTTGTAGAAAAGGTGCTATGTTTTAAATAACAAGATACATTAAAGGAAGTTAGAAACTACAGCAAAAGTAATTTTGTGATTTCAAATTAAAACATATAAGAAAAATTAGCAAATGTGAATGAAGTTTGCATGTCAAAATAAATTTAAAACTTCACAAATCCAAAACCATTGTTTTAGTCTTTTCAGTTATCTTAAATTACATTTTATCTTTTATCACAGCAGGTCATTTATTTATGTCAAACATAAATAATGCATTTCATTTAATGTTTGTCTAGTGCTACAGATAGATGCATCTTATTGTCTGGAAATGTGCATAATAGGAAAATCTCAATTAATTATAGCCAAATTAATTAGTATATTTTATAAATAATAATTCTAGTATTTTATTTTACAAGTAACAAATGCTACAATAATTGCATTTAATTTCATCAGAGATATGCTAAAGAAGTTGAGTATATTGGAAAAGAAAATACAATCCAAATTAATATCTAACATTTATGAGTGATATGGTTTGGCTGTATCTCCATTCAAATCTCAACTTAAATTGTATCTCCCAGAATTCCCATGTGTTGTGGGAGGGACCCAGGGGTAAGTAACTGAATCATGGGACCCATCTTTCCTGTGCTATTCTCATGATAGTGAACAAGTCTCACAAGATCTGATGGGTTTATCAGGGGTTTCTACCTTTGCTTCTTCCTCATTTTCTCTTGCCACCGCCATTTAAGAAGTGCCTTTTGCCTAGCACCATGATTCTGCGGCCTTATCACCCATGTGAAACTGTAAGTATAACTCCTTTTATTCCCAGTCTTGCATATGTCTTTAACAGCAGCATGAAGACAAACTAATACAATGAGAAAACAGCTCTGTCTCCTTCCAGGCCAGGTTTGGCTTTCTTTTTCTTATGCTTCCATAGCACAATTTGACACATTGAAATAATCTAGAATTATAGTTCAAAGTTTTTATGAAAAGATAAATTGTATATTGAATACAACTGTGATTACCAACATATATATATATATGTTTTCATATAACTGTCATTACCAACAACATATCTACCTATCAATATATATATAAACATATATATTTAAGATTCAAAGCCTGTCATTTCACATATAAGAAAAGCTATGAAGAAGGTATGACAATGAATGTTTTTATTTGTTTAAATTTTTTTTCTTTCATTAAACTGAGGTTCTTGAGAACAGGAACCATGTCTAAATCATCATTATATCTCAGATATCAACCCAGAATTTGAATTAACATTTCTACCTAATAACTATTATATGGATAAAAGTATTGTAAAATATGTTTATTTTCTTATTTATAACAATATGCCTAATGATAGCTGTATAATTTAAAGTAAGAAACATGGTACTTGCAAAATGACAAATAGAAAGATAAAATACTAATATAAAAGATGATTTGGAGCCATAGCAATGAATAATTATCAAAAGTTTTAAATATTGTTATAAAAATAAAATACTAAAACTAGAGGATAATGTATTATTTGGAATTATACTAAGAAGAAAATTCCATTTTTTATTCTTAAACACAATTTAAGCTAGAAGTTTTTCATATATCATTCTCCTATTCATGAAGACAGACAGTATAAGTTTTGTCACATAAGCAATGATTTGCTGATGAATTTCTCTTTCTAAGCCTACAACATATGAGAATTATGAACCCATTTTTTCTTTTTTGCTCTACATCTCTGTCAAGACAATCTACATATAAAACCCAACAATTTTAAGGGAAGACTCCACTTGGTGAACTTTGTAGTAAGAGACGGAAAATAAATAATCTCAGAACATAAGGTAGAAAGTTTGATTTCAGGGACTGTGAGTGGCTGCAAGAATTGAAAGATGTAGATTTGAGATCTATCTTGATTATTGAACTTTTCTGAGAGTGATACTATATAAACCTCATTTTCTCATTTGGGATGTCAAAAATAGTCATCTACTTTTGTTTTCATCTTAATTAATACTAACATTTTTCCATGGATAGTCACCTTGCTCATCATATTATTATTTATATTATCAAGTATATCATTGCATTCACATAAGGAGAAGAGCTTCTGTGAGTCTCCTAAATGGTATTTTCGGTTCATGTTATATTAGTTGGATTTTGACAGATAAATGAAATTTATTAACTGAATTTTAAAAAGCCATCTCATTTCTAAATGAAATTAAATGTTATTGAGATAAAATAAAATATAGCATCTATAAGAGTGACAGGGTTTTGGTGGTGATGGAAGCAATTTTCAAGTAGTTTCTTTTTTTAATGCTGGCTAGAGATTTATTATTAATAAAGTGGGCATTTCAAAATAAACTATTGGCATTTACTCATTAATTTTATATAAATAAAAATGAATCATAGTTTAATATGTTGTTAAAATTGTTACTTGACTTTGTATGAACAAAAAGTAATAAAAAGCTTGTTGGCTTGGCTTCATTGTTTACATGGAATCACATCTTACTTTATATGAAAGTGGTATACAACATTTAGCTGTTACTCTGTTTTGAGAGGTTGTAAATTTTAAGATACTCTTGATTAATGATGAAAACAAAGTCCCAGGTTCACATTGCTTGAATTGTAATTTTCAGTGAAATAATCACTTATTGTACGTTTATGAAAAAATATACAATGCTCTATGTTATTCAGATTTGTTTAAAAAACTAAATTTACATTTATGTTTTTTATATATTTACATCTTTTTGCCCCACTGAATTGGAAAATAGTACAGGCACATCAGTACAAATGACTTAATTGCCCATTACATGTTGATGTTAAAAAATTGAATGATGAAAGATTTATGAGTTCTCTATGGTTAGTATTCAAGGTAATAGATATTAATTATCCCTGTTCAAGGTAACTACATCAGCTCAATGAATCTATTCTGGTAGCAACATAAGTTCTCTTGTTTGTTTGTTTTCAGTCATTAAATCTTCTACAAATATCACTATGCTGAAACATGGTATATTAGGTCATTCTCACACTGATCATAAAGACATACCTGAGACTGGGAAAAAAAAAAGAGTTTTAATTGGACTTAAAGTTTCACATGGCTGGAGAGGCCTCAGAATTATGGCAGAAGGTGAAAGACCCTTCTTAGATTGCAGCACCAAGAGAAAATGAGAAAGAAGCATAAGTGGAAACCCCTGTAAAAACCATCAGATCTCATAAGACGTATTCACTATCATGAGAATAGCACTGGAAATACTGGCCCCATGATTCAATTACCTCCCACTGGGTCCCTTCCACAAAACCTGGGGATTCTAGGAGATACAATTCAAGTTGAGATTTGGGTTGGGGCACAGCCAAAGCGTATCATTCCACTCCTGGCCCCTCCAAATTTCATGACCTCACATTTCAAAACCAATCATGCCTTCCCAACAGTCTCCCAAAGTCTTAATTCATTTCAGTATTAATCCAAAGTCCAGAGTGCAAAGTCTCAACAGAGGCAAGTCAATTCCCTTCTGCCTATGAGTCTGTAAAATCAAAACCAAACTAGTTACTTCCTAGATACAATGTGGGTACAGGTATTGGGTAATATGGTGTTCCAAATGGGAGAAACTGGCCAAAACAAGGGGGGTTACAGAGCCCATGCAAGTCCAAAATCCAGTGAGGCAGTCAAATTTTAAATCTCCAAGATGATCTCCTTTGACTATGGGTCTTACATCCAGGTCACACTGATGCAAAAGGTGGATTCCCAAAGTCTTGGGCAGCTCTACCCCTGTGGTTTTGCAGGGTACAGTCTCCCACCTGCTGCTTCTGTGGTCTGGCATTGAATGTCTATGGCTTTTCCACATGCACAGTACAAGCTGCCAGTAAATCTACCATTCTGGGTTCTGAAGTGTCCCTCTTCTCACAGCTCCACTAGGCAGTGCCCCAGTAGGGACTCTGTGTGGGGGTTCCAACCCCACTTTTCTCATCTCTACACTCTGTTCTTCTACACTGCCCTAGCAGAAGTCCTACATGAGGGCCTCGCCCCTGCAGCAAACTTTGGCTGAACATCCAAGTGTTTCTATAGATCTTCTGAAATCTAGGTGGAGGTTCCCAAACCTCAATTTTTAACTTCTGTGTACCCACAGGCTCAACACAACATGGAAGCTGCCAAGGCTTGGGGCTTCCACCCTCAGAATCCGTAGTCAGAGCTGTACATTGTTCCCTTTTAGCCATGACTGGAGCAGCTGGAACACAGGGCACCAAGTCCCTAGATGGCATACAGCATGGGGACCCTGGGCCTGGCCCAGGAAACCACTTTATCCTTCAGAGCCTCCAGGCCTGTGATGGGAGGAACTATCATGAAAGTCTCTGACATGCCTGAACTTCTGGCTTGAACTTCTTCTCAAAAAATGGAGTTTTCTTTTCTATCACAATGTCAGGCTGCAACTTTTCTGAAATTTTATGCTCTGCTTCCCTCTTAAAATGGAATGCTTTTAACACCACCCAAGTCTTCTCTTGAATGCTTTGCTGCTTAGACATCTTTTTCTGGCAGATATCCTAAATCATCTCTCTCAAGTTCAAAGGTCCACAAATCTCTAGGGCAGGGGCAAAATGCTGACAGTCTCTTTGCTAAAGCATAGCAAGACTTACCTTTGCTCCAGTTTCCAAAAATTTCCTTATCTCCATCTGAGACCACCTCAGCCTGGACTTATTGTCCATATCACTACAGGCATTTTGGGCAAAGCCATTCAACAAGTCTCTAGGAAGTTCTAAACTTTCCCACATTTCCCTTCCTTCTAAGCCCTCCAAACTGTTCCAACTTCTGCCTGTTACTCACTTCCAAATTCTCTTTCACATTTTCAGACATCTTTTTAGCAACTTCCCACTCTACTGGTACCAAGTTACTGTATTAGTGCATTTTCACACTTGATAAAGAAACACTCAAAACCAGGAAAAAAAGAGGTTCAATTGCACTTACACTTCCTGTCACTGGAAAGGCCTCAGAATCATGGCAGGAGGTGAAAGGCACTTCTTGCATGGCTGCAGCAAGAGAAAATGAGGAAGAAGCAAAGTATTACTGAAATGCCAGGCATTCAGTCTAGTTCTTCTTGCTTGCCCCACAGAAACCCAATACTAGGACAATGAGTATTGCTGGGGAAAGATAATTTAATGGGGTGGTACAGAATGAGCACTACCAGGCAAGCAGAATTTAGTGGGGTGCCTTAACAGGATGCTGGAGCCAAGGATATGAGAGATCAATGTCAAATGCATCTCTCCAACCAACTAAAATTAGGGGTTTAGAAGGCAAGGAAAAATACAACTAAATGCTGGAAAACAAGAATTAGGGAGAGATACGAAATAAGAGTTGGTCAACAGGCAGCAGGTGGTTGATCAGGCAAACCTGACAGATGAGGGATCTGGCATCTTATTGTCTAGATAAGATGATCAGGTAAGTCTCATTTTCTTGGTACTATCAGGGAAACCTGAGGGTTGTTTTTCTGAGCAAGGAACTCAGATAAGATGAATGCAAGTTTAAAGCTTTAAGGCCAGGAGGGTCAAATTTCTATGTTTACCCAAATACCATAAACACTAGTCCTGAAAATACCATAAACGCAGTAAAGGTGGGCTGGTTTCAAAATTACCTGGGTTGAATTTCGACTGAATACATAAAAATAATGTTAAAAGTAGCCTACTTTATACACTTTAATTTTATTTTTCTGGAATAGGTTATTAAGAATTATATGTAATTAAAAATGTGCAAACTGATATGTTAAAAAATTAAGTTTTTAACTTTACGCACAAACACACAAGTTTCTGTTTCCAGATGCAATAGGTTCTTACTAGATTAGTGGATTTACTTCTGGAAATTGTCACATAAACACTCTCACTCTCTCTCGCTCTCTCTCTTTCTCTCTCTCTCTCTCTCTCTCTCTCTGTGTGTGTGTGTGTGTGTGTGTGTGTGTGTGTGTGTGTATGCGTGGTAAACTTATGTATACATAGTGTTGTATAGTTTATAGGTATACAATTTATTTAAATAGTTCTACATAACAAACATCTATATAGTTTCTAAACTTTGCAAAGTTTTATTTCTTTTAGGTACATCCATTTCTAGGCTTTTAGATAATTTAGTGTCAATCTGCATAATAAAGTATATGTCACTTTCTTCTGTGGAAATTTATATTGTTTGTTTAAATACTTAATGATTATCTCTTAGGCTTATCAATAAAGCAATTCAATAATTGAAAAAAAAGTGTTCAGTTCTTTACCGTTGACCTGTGTATATGCCATATCTAGCTATTTAGGGACTAGAGTTTAATATTTTAGTATCTGATAAAAATAAAAACCAGATGCAGTATTTAGAAGTTCTCTGAATTTTTTGTTATTTTCCTGTGAAGTTTTTGTAGTCTTTTAAAAATAGTAATTGTATTTGGATAATTTTATATTGATAAATTACTATAGTGAGAATCACTATTTTTATGTTGTAGACTCTTCCTAATGAAGAACTTTTTTTATCCTTTGGAATGTTATTATTGTATCCTATCTTTTTTACATAAAACTGGACAACTTTATGTTAAATTAATTAACAAGCATTCTAAATCTTTGTTTTTCCTAATATTCAACGTATTTTTCTACATTTTACATGCTGATTGAATCTTGTTTGATTTCTATTAAACAAATTGAGTCTTGTTTTGATTTCTATTTGTGTACTAGGCACTCTATTATTAAGTGTTTTCTGCAATATTTTTTATCTTTTCTTTATGTTGCTTCCAATGTGGTATTTATTTATGGATTAGCTTTTTAAAAAATTTTTATTAAAAGTGTTATGTGTTACATTGTCTAATTATGCTCTTGTTTTGCCATACCATACATGATTTCTTGTGTTTTACTTTGACCATTGTTTCCTAAAGGTGATTTTTGCTATTAAAGTCCTTTAATTTTTCTTTAATTTTTATACATTATTTTAAAAATAGGCCGGGTGTGGTGGCTCACACTGATAATGCCAGTACTTTGGGAGGTCAAGGCGGGTGCATAACTAGGTTAGGAGTTAAAGACCAGCCTGACCAACACAAGGAAACCCCTGTCTCCACTAAAAATACAAACATTAGCTGGACATGGTGGCAGGTGTCTGTAATCCCAACTACTAGGGAGCCTGAGGCAGGAAAATCACTTGAATCCAGGAAACAGAGGTTGCAGTAAGCAAAGATCACACCACTGCACTCCAGCCTGAGTGACAGAGTTAGACTCTGTCTCAAAAATGATAATAATTATTATTATTTTAGTTATCTCTTTGGCAATTTTATTTGTAGTAATTTTATGTTAATTCCATTGTGTCAAAAAGGGGTCCAGTTTCTGCTTTCTGCACATGGCTACCCAGTTTTCCCAACACCATTTATTAAACAGGAAATCATTTCCCCATTGCTTGTTTTTGTCAGGTTTATCAAAGAATGTATGGTTGTAGATATGTTGTGTTGCCTCCAATGACTTGGTTTTGTTCCATTGGTCTATATCTCTGTTTTGGTACCAGTACCATGCTGTTTTGATTACTGTATCCTTGTAGTATAGTTTGAAATCCAGTAGTGTGATGCCCCCCACTGTGTTCTTTTTACTTAGAATTGACTTGGCTATGCGGGCTCTCTTTTGGTTCCATATGAAGTTTAAGGTAGTTTTTTCCAGTTCTGTGAAGAAAGTCAATGGTAGCTTGATGGGGATAGTGTTGATTCTGTAAATTACTTTGGGCAGTATAGCCATTTTCAGAATATTAATCCTTCCTAACCATGAACATGGAATGTTTCTCCATCTGTTTGTGTCCTCTCTTATTTCGTTGAGCAGTGGTTTGTAGTTTTCCTTGAAGAGGTCTAATACATTCCTTGTGAGTTGTATTCCTAGGTATTTTATTCTTTTTGTAGCATTTGTGAATGGCAGTTCGTTCTTGATTTGGCTCTCTTTTAGTCTGTTATTGGTGTATAGGAATGCTTGTGATTTTTGCACATAGATTTTATATCCTGAGACTTTGCTGAAGTTGCTTACATTAAAATTAACTCCAGATGGATTAAAGACTTAAACATAAGACCTGACACCATAAAAACCGTAGGAGGAAATCTAGGCAAAACCATTCAGGACATAGGAGTAGGCAAGGACTTCATGACCAAAACACCAAAAGCATTGGCAACAAAAGCCAAAATAGACAAATGGGACCTAATCAAACTCCACAGCTTCTGCACGGCAAAAGAAACAGTCACTAGAGTGAATTGGCAACCAACAGAATGGGAAAAAATTTTTGCAGTTTACCCATCTGACAAAGGGCTGATATCCAGAATTTACAAAGAACCCAAACAGATTTACAGGAAAAAAACAAACAAGCCCATTCAAAAATGGGCAAAGGATATGAACAGACACTTTACAAAAGAAGACATACATGAAGTCAACAAACATATCAAAAAATGCTCATCGTCACTGGTCATCAGAAAGATGCAAATCAAAACCACATTGAGATACTATCTCACACCAGTTAGAATGGCGAACATTAAGAAATCTGGAGACAACAGATGCTGGAGAGGATGTGGAGAAATAGCAACACTTTTACACTGTTGGTGGGAGGGTAAATTAGTTCAACCATTGTGGAAGACAGTGTGGCGATTCCTCAAGGCCTTAGAAATAGAAATTCCATTTGACCCAGCAATCCCATTACTGGGTATATATCCAAAGGACTATAAATTGTTCTACTATAAAGACACATGCACACAAATGTTCATTGCAGCACTGTTTACAATAGCAAAGACCTGGAACCAACCCAAATGCCCATCGATGATAGACTGAATTGGGAAAATGTGGCACATATACACCATGGAATATTATGCAGCAATTAAAAATGATGGGTTCGTGTCATTTGAAGGGACATGGAGGAATCTGGAGAACATCATTCTCAGCAAACTGACACGAGAACAGAAAATGAAATACCACATATTCTGACTCATAGGTGGGTGATGAAAAATGAGAAGACATGGACACAGGGAAGGGAGTACTAAACACTGGGGTCTATTGGCAGGTATAGGAGAGGGACAGTGGTGGTGGGGGGAGCTGGAGAGGGATAGCCTGGGGAGAAATGCCAAATGTGGGTGAAGGGGAGGAAGGCAGCAAAACACACTGCCATGTATGTACCTATGCAACTGTCTTGCCTGTTCTGCACATGTACCCCAAAACATAAAATGCAATTAAAAATAAAATAAATAAATAAAGAGACTGTCCCTTCAAAAAAAAATTCCATTGTGGTTTTAAAAATTTAATCAAATTGAATTTCTCTGCCAGTATTTCTAAAAGATTCATTTTGGAAGGGGCTAAGTCATTTCCAAGATAATGAAATTTATTTTTTTTAGACGGTTGTTTATTGCTTCCGGTTCAGTCACTGCCTCTTCCCATTCACTGCCTGGTCCTCGTTGACAAAATGCAGCTCTCCTAAATATTGCTTATCTATATAATTGATAACCAACCAAGTCCTGGAAAGGTCCCCCTGCCATCCCAGGGACATACTTTCAGCGCATGTAAACAAAATTGTATTGGTTTGCAACTTTGCTTGTGCCCTCATCTTTAAGAAATGTAAGCTGCTGCTCAGTGTAGCCTTGGGCCAGCTTAATGCACTTTCTTGCCTACCTCTTTGACTATCACTGCATTTGGAATTTCTTCCTATCTACTTTTGATATGAGGTTTCAGATTTCTCTATAAGGCTTATCAAAAATGGAATTTACATTTTTATTTCTCATTCCTTCTCAATTTTGCAGTAAATCTCAAAAAGAGATAAGAAAAAATACAAACAAGTTTACTCTGATAAAACCAGGAGTTAAAAAATATACTTTTATTATTTTACAAATAGCCACATGGGATATTACTAAAATTAGATTATTTAAGTATTTGACTTAATACTTTTTTCTTCAAATTTGGAAGATAACAGATACGTCATTATATTTGGCATTATGGGAAAGAATTAGTAAAAGTCAGAGGACAAGAAGGAAAACTAGAAATAATTTCACACAGATTTATTATGT